ATTGCAAGAATAATGATTACATGAAAATCAAAGGTGTTCAAAGAAGGACCACTAAATCTCTTTTGGGGTATTCGGACAATGAAAATTATCACCTAAGATATTATCAAATCAAGTTAGAACCTCTCTGGCTCAGAGGCATTATGTTAAACCTTGTAACTATATACAGGCCTTTAAATAGTAATTAGGTCAACCAGAAATCAACAAGCACACTGAAATCGATTCAATTTATCAACTAGTCAGGAAAATTATGCTCAAGCATAGGAACAAAAAGTAAACCATTGGGATATACAACCAAAACAAAGAAGTAAACAATGACACGTTTACGGCCTACAAGGACCAATCAACATCGAGGCCTGCAGGACAAGCTGTGAACCACACACGGAGAAATTCGAACGCTTCACTTCTACCTGAAGTTTCTGCAATAACAATGAAAGCTTTACGACCAAACCACCCAGCTCAGAGAACAAAACCCCTTCAAAATAACATCAATCCACACATGCCTGTGGGACAGAACATTTTGTTTATTTACGGCCCCTTATGGTCTAGTTGAATGTCATGATCCAATGGTATTGATGCTGATTTATCATGCAAAATAACTCCTTAAATCGTGTTCAGAACGCTAAATGGGTTTCACTTCCTACCGAATAATCCTATTATAAGCAAACCGGACGATTCTCTAAAAACGAAGCCTACTCAAGACTATAAAACCTGCAAAATAATATGAGCTGAAATAGCTTCTACAAAAAGGGAGACAGCCATTGGCACATCAAAATACTGTTTTAGTACTATATTTTATAACTACACATAATCACCTTATTTTATACAGTTATTTATCCACTCATACCTAGTTTTCTTTAACCTATTGGAATGCTCTTGCTTAATAAGTGCCTTAATAAAAGAGAATCGGACTGAGTAATCGTGCCTCAACTATTGCTCAATGAACATTCTCTAGTGATATTATTCGCAACGCAACCATGTAAGCTTAATGTATCACCCAGTGTAATAACGGTCATCAGTGCGTTCAAGTAATTATAGAATTTGTCATTTCATAATGTATTTTTTATTCAATAACTAGATTATGCTGTTAATTTTGCTCTGGTGGTAATTGTTATTCGCCACGTCTGACTGCGCTACACTGTACGTTCATTGCACGCTGAGATGATATCCCAAGTCATAGCGAGTTTAATCACATAGTTGATTGTTTCCAAATAGACCGTCAGTGCATAATCTTACCGAAAAATAGTTTGTTGTACTGTAAATTATGTTTTTATGGACAACTGATTGTTGTCTTCAGTCTGAATGCAATATATATCGTTTGTCTTCTGATAGGCAAGTTCGCGACTGGCCTATATTTCGTGTTTTGGTTTTATCAGCTGAATAACGTCCATTTAATCACTTTGAGCAACATGTCTGTGCAACTTGTGATACACGAGCCTCTCAGCACCTAGTTCATATGTAGTAAGTTTAAGTGATTTAGTATATATCTTCTTCATTTTCTTGGGAAACCTACAGACTCGGGTCCTCTCATAACTTATTCTAACCACCATGAGTTGTCACGGCAGCTGATGGACACGCGTCGTACATCCTTACCGTAACTGCGTCCAGTCTCATAGCTTCCTATTCAAATGCCATATGATAAGCAAGCAATGCCCCTACCCACACTAATGGAACACGAGTAACTCAAAGGCACCCTGTATGGTGCCTTAAATTGGTCTACGCACTCGCTTAGCTCTTTAGTGGGAATATTACTACAGTTCTGCCAAAAATCCCATGAACCCCCCTATGTTCATCAAAACAAATAAGTCTGTATTTGCTGCACATGGCAATTTTATGTTTCTGTAAACATAACAGTTAGTATTAGAGTAAAATGGCAGTATACAGCAGATGCACGTAGTGCATGTCTTCATCGACTAAATGAAATAGAGAATACGGATATTAGCTTAACAGGCTTATTTAGAAAGACTAGTGTCTACTTTGAACTTACTGCGTGAGAAAGTTATACTAGAACTACGAATAATGTAGGAATCTAGTCTCCCAGCGCGTACGAAGCACTCAAACTGGAAGACAGTTGTCCAAAAATAATTCGAATATGAAAGTGAGAATTTGCAGGTACTTTTCATATTAGGTACCGGTTGACATCATATCTTAAAAAAACACAAATTTGCGAGTGGTGAAATATGATCTATAAAAAAGTGAGCTTAATAACACTTAATTACCTTTTTACTCCCTGATCTTGACCCTTCGGCTTTCTTTTACTGCCAAAACAGCAAAGGTGCACTACACACTGATAGCAGATTTCCGGCTTTTCAATGTTAAGCTTGCTTTAACGCACTGCGAGATTAGTACAACCCCTCCATTACTGCTATGTGGCATATTTTTTATAACAAACCCTCTGCAATAGATTGGTAGCATCTGTGACTTCTATGGTTGTCCGAAGTCTGGGTCCTTCTGAAAACAATACTGATATCCCCTACTGCTGGGCACTCAGTATTAGTTTGACTCGTTGGTGGGATAGTGTTGTCCATAATACAGAAGAAAATTAAAAACCGGAGATTGTTTTCTTTCATTTTGCCGATAACATCATAAAGGACGGTTAGGAACAAACATGCGGACAGTTAGTCACATGTGACAGCAACAATTATTTCAGTTAAAAAAACAAACTTTGGCTTTGGATATCTAGAAAATAAGTCAAAACAAAACCGATTACCATTTTTGAATCATAAGACTAGCCAGTTTGGCTGAAGAAATACATTGACTTTAATAGCAGCAGGAAAAACCCAGAAAAGAAAGCAAAATCAGAAAAATTTTGCTCAAACATTTAGAGGCCCCTTGAGGTATGCCACCAATAACAGATATGAAACGGGTGACTTCGTCCTGCACCATCATTGGACCCTCAGATATTAAAGAGGGATATAAGGTTGCAGTCTCTAGAGGCCCCCAACTTTACATGGTTCTATTCTCGACCATCAGTCGCACGTCGCAACACAACCTTCGTAAAGCGCACAAACTGTGATACTGACAATACGATTCTTACTAAAACCATATAAACTTATATCTTATAAAATATCAACCCATCTGGGTAATTTAATACAGTGAAAATTGTATCTTTTTTAACAATTTGATCTTGCGTTTAAAGTGGCATGCCTCATGTAACAAACTGTTATTTGAGAATAAACTATTATTATTAATAAAAGGAATTAAAAATAAGCATACCAATCTGGTACAATTTGATGGTAGAATAAGATTTTATGTATTAACAATTTTGAGTGATATAATAAAAGTCCTAATTCACTGAGAACAGAAGAATGGGTTTGAGCAAACACACGTTACGGTTACCCTACTTTTGCTGAATGTTCGGACTGAACTTCTGTTTGCTGCATGGTCACTTAAATTCGTGAAAAGGATACTAACTTCTGCCCCTGTGTCAACGAGAACGAGTGCCTTGGTTGTCAAACCAGTGCTGTGTAGCGGTAAATTAAACCCAAGAATCAATAGCTCTGTAAGTCTTCGACATTTGGTGATGACCGGATTAGTTTGACTGGACTAACCTATATGAAGGCGCTAGGTCATACATCCGCATCAGATCACGAGTGGGTATGCCGTGCTTCACATCTCCTACAACATCTACCCACCCCTGATTATTCAGTTCCTGAATATATCGATATTCTATCAAATATCTTCGAACCTCTTCGCTTCTGACTTCTGAGTCGACTGAGTTGGAATACTTTGATTATAAAGGTGTTACTGATCAAGGCGTTGTCCCACTCCTAATAACTGTGGCATCTTCAAATGTACAACAAACGGGAATGATCAACATGTCTATTAGTTGTCCATGTGTATGGATAAAGATGTTAATAGGGAGTTTGGTCATATCGGCAATTGATCTAGGTTTAGGAAAACTTGAGGGTGTTGCTTTGGTTGAGGGAATAATTACTGTCGGTGTTGTGACAACAACAGGATTTGGAATATCTGTTTTTTTGAAAACAGAACCTTAACACGATGGACTCCTCCGAAGAACTGCAGAATGTTATCGACTATTTCACAGAGAAAAATGGATAGTCAATATACTGAATGACCTAATGTTTCTCTCTAACGGATGATATTAGCTCATCAGCCTTATTAATTTAGAATGAAATAAGAGCAGCTCTAACTTTTTTTCTAGACTAAACAGGAAGAACTGCCTGGATGGGGCTTTTATCGGTTTATTGACCAATGATTTATCACAGTCGTAATAACATTTATACTTCCAAGAAGTTCATCTGACCTCTGCCGACTGGTTATATCTCCATGTTTGAGGAAAGTTTTTGTAATGTTCAGTAGGCCAATGGTACAATATTAGTAGTTAAGTGAATTTGCCTTTGTCACGCTGGGCCCACGGAAGTTAGCTTCTTAAAGAAAAGACCTGTAGTTAGAGTTATAAGGCTAGGAAGAGGTAATTTAAAAGGCAGAGAACGCTAATGCTGTAATTTGTAGGTGTTTAAGTGTGCAGCTAAATCTTGTCGAACTGAATATATGTGAGGAATTCATCAAAAATTTCCACTTTATGTATCAGCACACTCCTCTGAAGGCTTGATTCAATGGTACCGATGGAGGTGACTACTTAGCCACACCGAGTGACTTGTCTTTGAAGCTAACAAACGACGGGGACAAGAATATTAACAATTTTTAACTGAAATCTCTTTCATAACCAAGACCCAATTTTAAAGGAACTCTTAAGTTGTTATTTCTCCCTAAAAAATTTTGGATATCGAAGTATTTGGCGATACCAAACCAGGAATAGCAGTGCGTATAAAAAATCCAAAAAAAATTCAAAGGGCAGAATTAAAATAAATAAGGTGGAAAAAATAAAACATAGCAATAAAGACTATTATCTGTACGACCAAACGTATACTTTTGTTTTACATATCCAATTGAGTGGACTTGTACTACAATTAGTTTGGTTTGTGTATATCTGGTCACGTATTTGTCTATCAATTTACTTAGATTGTTTATCACAAAATATGTCATCTGTATGCGATCGTTTGTTGAAGTCAGTGGACCCAACAAATATTGAGCCTCGTTCTCGTAGTAAAGTGACTGTTATAGGTGTTGGAATGGTTGGAATGGCTGCAGCATTCTCTACCATGCAAGTGGCAGGAGAACTCGCACTTATTGATGTCGTAGCAGATAAGGTTAAAGGTGAAGTTCTTGATCTACAGCATGGTCAACAGTTTATTGGCAGGTGCAAAATTGATGGGGGAACCGACTACAAATACTCTGCAAATTCAGATATTGTCGTCATCACTGCTGGTGCCAGACAAAACGAAGGAGAATCACGACTGAACCTTGTTCAGCGTAATGTTGATATATTCAAGAAAATAATACCGAACATTGTGAAATACAGTCCAAACTGCATCATAGTCGTCGTATCGAACCCTGTCGATATTTTGACATATGTTGCTCGACGATTGAGTGGATTTGAAGCTCATAGAGTAATTGGGACCGGAACCATGCTTGACTCGGCGAGGTTTCGTTTTCTGTTAGGTGAGAAATTGGGAGTATCTGCCAATTCTGTCCATGGGTATGTAATTGGTGAACATGGTGACTCGAGTGTTGCTGTTTGGAGTAATGTGAATGTTGCTGGAGTTCGTCTGTCTTCTCTAAATCCAAAGATAGGATGCAAAGATGACCCTGAAAATTTCGAGGAAATACACAAGCAAGTTGTTCAGAGTGCCTATGACATCATTCGCTTGAAAGGTTACACCTCATGGGCGATCGGGTTGACATGTCGATCACTTTGTAACGCACTACTAAATAACCATCATACAGTTTATCCACTCTCTGTTCCGGTCAAAGGAATTCACGGAATCGAAGAGGATGTTTATTTGAGTTTACCATGTCTTGTTACTTCAGCTGGAATCAGTCATTTGATTCCGCTTGAACTTAGTGCGGATGAATTGTGTAAATTGAGAAAAAGTGCTGCCACTCTGAATGAAGTTATAACGAAAATCCAATGGTAAAGTCGTACGACTAATAGTTGCCGCACGTTCACGTATAAAGAACACTAGCTTTCCTTCTTTTCATGTATGTTCTCTCTGTTTTTAAATTAGTAATTATTAGATATGAAGCATCTTAATTTGTGTTTATTGAAATTGTTCGCTAAATTTTTTTCCAAAGAATTAAACATAAATTATTCGGTTAGAAATATGAACAGCTTTCCTTCTTTCCTGTTAGTTATAACCGTACATGATCTAAAGTTTAATAAACTACATTAAATTTTCCCGCTCACCCTTGGACATTGTTTAGGAATGATTTACATTCCTGTCATCTTGCGAATCAGGTTTTTATGGTATCGCATATCGTGAAGAGCCTTCACAAGCCATCCTTTGGCCTACTTTTTAGAGTTTCAGCATATATGACTTGAATATGTAATAATGTCACATTAAGTAAGAATGTTGTGTTTCTTGTAATCGTTTTCCGACAAAAATAGTTTATTGGGAAATATTTGGCAGTCTCCTGTCTTCCGTAATCACTTATGAAGTCCGACACTTGATTGGTATCGATTCGGTGGGGTTTTCGTCAGTAACCTAAGCTGTTGGTTCACGATACCGTTTAATGTATTACTCCGTGAAACTATCCAATGGACTTTTGAACCTCGTTTCTCATTATTTCAGCAGACTCATGATGTATTTCCTCTTATATTCATATCGGGATTATCCTAGGCGGTAATAAAAACTAGACATCCATTTTAACGAGTGCAGAAATTGTTCTTAAGTGTTCCGTTAAATTCTTCACTTGACTAAAGCTAAGTAAGCAAATATCTATGTGATAAGAGGGGAAACTATATTAAACAATACCCATCATACATATGGTTTTCTGTTTCTTTACCCTTTGTGCCTTCTAATCACACATTTTGTCAAGATTCTGGGGTTTCCATGAATTAAATGTTAGATCAGAATCTATATATCCCCCAAAAATATGCTTCAGTTTGCAGGGATTCACTCGTAATAGCTTTTCATTTTTGTAACTAATATGGCTTCAAGTTAGTGATTGTTTTAGTTGCCATTTTTATCAAGAACAGACGTAATGATATTTAAAAGGCAATGCTAGATTCCTGACATATACTCTCTCGGCTTTTTAGCTTATTGTTTAACAATCCTTACAACCGATTCCCCAAAATCAAACGCAAAATGTTCATAAAGTCTCATCTTATAATAAGGCTGGCATTCATTCAAATGCTGCTAATAAGTAACGAATTGTTGTGAACAGTTTTAGATTCGATGACCTGAAAAGTCATATGTATCCATCTTCAGAAAAAATAAATTTAAAAGTATTTACCTAACTTTTCGTCGATACTAAACTTTCAGTACAAAACGTCTAGCCAGGATGATACAAACAAAAGCATATCAGCTGGTAAATAAATTATATTGGGGAAATAAACACACAATGCGTGTCTATTTACAGGTTTCATCAGTTTGCACAGCGAGCAACATTACATTTAAAGAACAAATATTAATGGTCAAACCGTTCGTAACGATTTTACTGATAGGTTATTCTGAGAAAGATATAGTCATAACGAGTATTAAATTGTTAGGTAGCAAATGTGAAACAAATCTACAGTAGGAGGACCGAGAAATCCTGTCGAAGTTTGACTAATATACCGAAGGGTATTTCCACTACGGCTACGGTGTAATTACAATAATCTACAATTCTAGGGAAAACGGGGACCGTGAAGATGGAACAACATCTAATGTCTTTTTAATTTCACCAGTGGAATATAATATAGTCACAGGTGTAAGTATTGCTGAAGCGATCTCAAATGAGAGACAATCATCGATGTAAGAAACAAATAGTAGTGTTGATTTCGTGTCACAGATTTATCACAAACTGCTCGGAATCACCGATAGTTTCCTCGGAAAGTGATTTGTAGGAAAATAAGATTAAAAATGCAGCAGATTGACTTTCGATTAACAGTTACGAATGTTACAACTAAGTGTTGATATCAAGAATATCCGAGGATCGACTGGTCATTTCTTGAAGCGTATTTCTTGTATGTAGTCAGTTATGGCCTACGCAGTAATACTTCACTTTTTATGAAGTTATACTCACTTACTTGGTTCAGATCATCTAAGATTTGGGAATTGTGTTTGAACCTTCATCAATTGGTAAATCTTGTTATTCCCCATGTCCCGTCAAATACTACGTGACAAAATCACCAATTAGAATACCGACATCCATGACGTTGTCTCTGTGCTAAACTAGTGATGCGTTGACCAGCACTAGCAATGTTAAGTCAACTCTGAGCCTAATCGGTCCTCTGTATAGTAGCTTCTCGCCCAACTCAGTCCGTCCAGTCCAGAACACAAATATCGGTCTCCGATATGTGAATCGTATATTTCAGATATACGTGGTTTTTATACAGGCAAACTAGACCGTATCACACCATAAAATGAGAAGTAATAATTATACAAGACCGATCCAAAATTGGGTATGTGTGTGGTATACTAAGACGAATAAACTGTGAATACGTTAACAGTAGCCAATAGGTCAAATGGACGATTTTGATAAAAGGGAATATGTATATATACATAATCTAGTTACTTAATTATTACCCAATAGAAATATATTTAATGACAGTCCGTGGACAATTCAGAGCAGTTATCATTCATCTAGTATTCGTTCGTATATAACATTTGTACATCGTGATATAAGAGTAGGAAATCATCAGTAGATTTCTTCAGCCATTCTGAATAACTTGGATCTAGTGGAGTAGTTCTTCTACTTGCACAAGTCAATTTTGTCCACGAACTAAGTGTGCCGACAACAATATCTGAATAGATTGCATATGACAAACATAAAATCTCAACACCACGTTACAGTTTGACTATGATAAAAGCAACTGAGAATTTTGTATTTGAGTGTCATCTACCCTACAATTGTCGTATGACGGTTAACGACATTGATGTTCGCAAGCAGGGGAATCAAGTGTTTTGATTTTGTGGATGGTTTGACCTATTTATTTACAACAAGCTTCCGTTTGATGAAAGTTTAGTACATTGTTAGGATGGACTTTCAAAAACGAATTCACATCATTCTCCTTAAAATCAATATCAATCAAAACGATGACAGACGGTAGTATTGGCCAACAAAATTTGAGCGTTCTCAAGTTTTAAAATGTCGTGCTAACTACTGGATATCGGATATGTACATGTAGTACGCGCGCTTTCTTCGAAACCTAGTGTAAAATTGTTAGTTAATAGCATTTATAGGACTGAACTGGACACTTTCCCCTGTTGTGGCTTCATTCGCTGGATTTTGAAACCTGGCTGTCTTTCAAATACCGATTCCGTTCCAGTCACCAGAAATTATGATCATCTGTGAGGTGAATAGGTGACTATTTGTAATTTCTTAGATTGATTAGATAGTAGATTAGTCTTTTATAAGCAAAGATGGATAGTGGCTAGCAGCGGAATCCAGGACGCGCGTTTTGTTCTATTTGGGACTCGTCAGCCTGATGTTCCTGCGTCTCAGAGTTGATGTTCACTCTGGGACTCGGACCCAGTAACATTCGCTTCAAATGCGATCGCGTTACCCACTCAGCTAGGACGGAATTTTTGGGAACTACCGTTGCATTCAGGGATCCTGTGCTGAGAGTTCGAAGTCTGCTGGGAGAGCCTGTTACTTTTGACGTTATGATGGTACTGAGTTCCAGCATGTCACCACTAGTGTTATTACGTGCTCCACCGATAGTAGCGATGTCGAGATCCCTCTTTTTTTCGTTGCATCTTTTTATTTGTCTATCCGTTTTATGGTTGTCTTTTTTCAAGTTTGCTGACAACTTATCCCTCAGACCTGTCAATAAGACAGTGATGTTACTCAGCAAAACTTCGCCATCCGTCTTGCACACGACACATATACACCTATGATCCGACCCACTGAGCCTGTTGTAAGCAGTTGCTGTAAGATCTGTGCACGCTTCATGGAACCAACTACTGTAGTTGTCGCACTGCATGCTAGATGTAATAACAAAACGGTATCCGGGTCGTTTGCATGAGTTTTTTATGACTATGGTGACATAAATTGTTTTATAGATCCTAGCAATAGCCTAAAGCCGTTGAAAAATACGCTAATAAGCACATTAAAAAACGGGCGAAATGGATAAAAACGGAGAAGGTGAACTGACGTAGCCTTTAAGTGAAAAACTATAAAAACTGATTAGTAAGCTGAGACAAAGCCACAGCTAACTATTAAATTGGGTGAAAGTCGAAAGGATTAATTTACCGAATGCATAGCTCAGAATAGATCGTTAGATCAGAAATGGTCTTACTGTTGCGTAAGAACACAGCAAAAGTTAGAGAAATGAAAGTCACGTTAGGACAAATTTCCCGTTCAAAAAGCGCGCGTTAGAAAAACTGGCCTTTCGGCAACTACTCTCTCCAGCAAATGGACCACATCTTACAGTACATTGCAAATACAGGGCATCTATCCTAGCGAACTGACACTTTGTCTTGGACATATTTCTTGAAAATTTTAGGAAGAACTGAACTGATACACTTGATCATATTAGGAAAGAAGATATTAGTGTTTGGTATGAGTTTTCGTGGACAACCCCTAAACTACTGATCGGAAAGATGAGAAAAAGCCTTACCTTATGACGCATGTACTGTCAGTAACTATCCAAAAATACTATAAGATTATCGTTGCAATGTCTCGAATATGTACTGTGAATTAATTCTTTGAAATGTGAGAGCAACATCCAAGTTTGCAGGTGAACGGTTTTGCTAGCCCGTTAATAATAATGATGAGAGGTAATAGACGCGCCATTGACGATGCCGTTTTGGGGTGGTGATGAAATATTACGGAGGTATAACTTACTCGATATTCGGAATTAACTGAGCACCTGAGCTCGAAAGGAATAATAATATGTTGTTCTCAAAAATCACAAGTTGCATGAGGCATGCCGACTTACAGTCAATATCAACCCATTGCAAATTCTGAATTATTTATTACAGCAAGCTCA